TTWARKWWTTTTTTTTTTTCTAGCATTTTTCTGGGTAGTTCTCAGTTGTCACTTGCAAATTCCGACCTGCCCTGTGCCCTGCCAAGGGACGCGGGGAAAAAAAAATAAAATAAAACCAACCACACATCAAGCAACCGGAAGCAGCCAGTAGCTGGCAAAGGCATGTGGTGGTGCGGGCCTCCGGGACCTCAGACTCTTCTTTCTCCTGCACATGCGCAGAGCCCGCCGCGGGCAGCTGCAAGACCCACAGCACCTGCCGGCGGAGCGGAGCGTCCAGGGGCCTCAGGGGGCTTTTGAGCGAGGCTGGTGGGGGTCAGGAGGCCTGCTGGGGGTCAGCGGCTGGACTCTGGCTGCAGAGGTCAGAGAACTCTGCAAACCCTGCGCCTGGGCCTGCGCCCCCCTCCTGCTTTCTTTGTGTCTCAGAAGCAGCTGCTTAAAGGACCTGTCCCCAGGGACTTTGTGCATGGACACAGGACACAGGACGGACGTCTGGGCTGTGCATTCCCTGCGGGTTCCTGCCCTGAGATGTTGCTATTGGGATTTTTCTTTCTTTCTTTCTTTTGATGGAAACGTGGCAAACCGTTCACAGGGGTCTCTGGGGGTCCCTCAGGCCTGGGTTGCGTGTCCAGCGCTGAGGTCAGCAGATACACCGAGGAATCCAACAGATACAGAGCCACCAACGGCGACCCTTATTATTATTATTATTATTATTATTATTATTTATTTCGAAAAATGGGGTTTCCAAGTTGCAGAGGCTGGCCTCCAACTTGCCGTCCTCCTGCCTCAGCCTCCAGACCCCTGGGATGACACAGAAGGCCGGCTGCACACCGTGTACCCCGTCGGTGTTTTCCTTGCACACCCCGGGGACTGTTTGTTCCTTTTCTGCTCCTTTGCACGCGGGGAGGTGGATACAGAGACCTCTTTTCCCACACAAGGAGGGAGGCGGGAGGGCAGCAGGTGGGCGGAGCCTCCCCGGTGCCCGGAATTCGCCCAGGTCGAGGCTGGCCTCCAGGAAGGCATGAGGTCAGCCCCCCACCTGAGCCACTGGCCCCAGGGGCGTGACCTCAGCGGGTTCTAAACTTCGCAGGGGACGTGCCCGGGCTTCCCCGCCAGCTGAGGGGGGCCGTGGGTGCGTGTCTTGTCTGTCCAGTTGCACGGTTGCCTCCAGCGCCAATGTAGCCCTGGGGGTCATTTTGCACACGGTCCTGGGGACGGGGGGCGGGCAGGCAGAGGCTGCAGACTGAAGCCCCCGGACGCCAGCTGCACGTTGGGCTGGGGGAGGTGGCCAGGGCTGGCCCCTCTGATCTCCCTGGACAGGAGCCGACATCTGGGAGATGTCGGGATTAAGCCAAGATTAAAGGCGGGGAAAGGCGCCTGAGGCTTTAGCCCCGGGGGACAATGTGACGGAATCTGCCAGGAGGCCCGGGGAGGGTGCCGCTGCCCAGTGGCTCTCCAGGCCTGGCGCGCCCTGCTTAGGGACCTGCGAGTCCCCGCGCCCCGTGTCCGGCTTTGACCTGTGCGCCCCTCCCCCATCCCATCCCCCGGTTCCCATCAGGGAGGTCTGAGCTGCCCCGGGGGGGGGGGGACACTGCGGGTGCAGGGAGTGTCACTGGGGTCACACACGGTGGACCCCCGCCCGGGCGCACGCGGGGGGAATACAGTCGGCGCTCTGCGGTGCACGTTCTGCACTCGCGGATGCGCTCATTCGCCGGCCACAAGCAGCAAAAGGAGAGTCACCCCCCCCCGCCCCTCCGCGCGAGACCCGGGGTCCTCGTCCCCGAAGCAGCGTCCCAGGTCCCCTGGGCAAGAAGAGCGCCGTGACGTCAATCCTGCTGCATATTACGTCATGTTACGTCATGCGCACATTTGCCAAACCTGCCCCCGATGCGGATGGCACCCCAGACGCCACCCCGTGATCGCACTGAGGGTCTCCCATGACCCACTTCACCCCATGGTAGAGATTCTCCTATGCAAATGTCGCGCCTTGGTATCGATGACAATGACTCCCTGTGACATACCGTCTGCCCAAAGGGYACCTTTCTATAAACCGTGTTAAATACGACACGGTGACCCGCCATATGCCAATGCTGCACCTTCATACTGACTCTGTGGACGGTCACATCGTGACTGTATGCAGATGGTGCATCTTTATGGTGAGGGCTCGCCGGCGCCCGAGTCCCACCCTGCTCTGACCCCGTTTCGTGGCSTCGTCGACTGATTGGGTGAGGCCCACCCAACTCCCAGAGGGCCAGCCGATTTCCTCCGAGGACCGGCATGCTCAGGACGGGGACAAAGTGGGGACCCGTGGCTTCCCCGTGGATCCCGGTCCTGGGGGGTGGGCGGCTGGGTGCTCCGGGGCGTGGACAATGAAGGGTTGTGGCTGCCCACGGTGGGGTTTCCGAGTGTCACCGGGGCAGCTGGAGGGGTGTGGATGTCACCAAGCAGGTGTTTTTCAAAACCAAGAGCCATGACGTGTGCGTGTCTGGAGGACCCCCTGAAGCCACTGGAGTCACATAACCAGAGCCTCCACCCCAGACTCTGGAGTCCGAGCACTGTGCCTCCCCCGGAGGCCACGACCAGCCTCCTATGCCCTCGTCTTTTGGCCACCGTGGGTGACCCTCTCTGAACCCCCTCGTCTTCCGGGGACATTTTTGGTGACGATTTCCATTGAGAGACAGGCTCTGGCCAAGTTGCTCAGAGCCTCGCTGAGTGGCTGAGGCTGGCCTCCACCTTGCCATCCTCCGGCCTCAGCCTCCCCAGCACCTGGGATGACAGGTGGATGCTACCCTCCCGGCTTGGACGCTGTTTTTTAAACCTCATTTTTTTTTTTCTGCTTCCTCCTCAGTTTTCTGCCGGCAGCCGGACCGCGTGGCCATCGTGACGGGAGGCACGGATGGCATCGGTTACGCCACCGCCAAGTACCTGGCCAGGCTGGGCATGCACGTCATCATAGGTGATCCTTTATGACCGCTTCTCTTGTCCCCGGGGAGGGGACTCCAGGTTTCTCTTGTAGGTGGCCATTTCCAGGTGGACCCAACGGTCAGGCAGAGCCAACCCTGGGAAGTGGACATTCAGGGACGTGGGGATGTACATTCTGCTTCAGGGTCTCGCCAAGTTGCCTGAAGCCTCGCTCGGTTGCTGAGGCTGGCCTCCAACTTGCCATCCTCCTGCCTCAGCCTCCCAAGCTGCTGGGATGAGTGGTGTGCACCCGCCTAACTTTTTTTTTTTCTTTTTAACGTCTGCCATCTCGTTACTGTGACACAGTCTCGGGACATCCCGCCCGTTGGCTTTCCGTACTTCGCTTATTTCGCTTAGCGGAAGGCCCTCCGGATCCTCCCGTGCTGCTGAGAAATGACGGAGCAAAACGTCCCTTTGCATGGCTGTATAGTATTCCACCCACAAACCACCTGTGTCCTTTCCGTGGTCCATAGGCACCGAGGTCACTGGCTTCTGCACCTTGCTGAAATGCATATGGCGGAGCCCATGTCCCTCCCGCACGCTGATCCGTTTGGGTTGGATGCCCCGTGAGGAGATGGGTAGCTCCCATGGTCCACCTACCCTAAATGTGTCGAGGAAGCTCCCGAAGCAGCAGACACATCCTGCGCAGTCAAAGGACCTGGGATCCCGTGGCCGGGGCTCCCGCGTCTCAGTGGTGATGGAGACGGAACTGTGAGCAAACACCTGAGGCCCACAGCTTAGAGAGAGGAAAGGTTCRGGTCAGCTCCTGGAGGCCGAGGTTTCCCTTCAGACGATTCTGGCTGGTGTCCAGGGCCACCTTGCCCCTTTGAAGGCCCCCAAGAGGTTTTGGTCACCTGTCCCTCAAAGCTCCCCCGTCAGCTCCGACTCGTTTCTCACCTCGTATCGTCCCAGGGACTCTGGAGGCTGAGGCAGGAGGATGGCAAGTTGGAGGCCATGTCACTCACRGTTTGCATGTTTTTTAAATTTTTTTCTTTCCTTTTCCCTTGTAGCTGGGAACAATGAYGCCAAAGCCCAAGAAGTCATCCGCGAGATCAGAGAAGAGACSCTGAACAGCAAAGGTCAGGCTCTCTCGCTTCCTTCCGCCTTATTGTGAATCAGAGAGAACATTCAGCCTTTGGTTTTTTTTTTTTTTGGGGGGGGGGGATTGGCTTATGTCACTGAGCATGAGCGTGTCCAGCTCCTTCCGTTTACCTACAAACGCCATCACTTCATTCCTCTTCACGGCTGAGTAATATTCCACTTACTATACGTACCACRGTTTCTTTATCCACTTTTGTGTTGAAGGGCTCCGGGGTTGGGGCTGTAGCTTAGCTACTGTGAATCGAGCTGCTGCGAACACGGATGTGTGTGGCCATGTCCCTGGACGGTGCCCATTTTAAGTCCTCATGGTATAACCTGAGGAGTGCGAGAACTTGGTCAAATGGTGGTGGACAGCGTTCCGGGTGGACGTGTGTGCAAGCCGTTGCACAAGCCGAGTCCTCCATCTTGAGGACTGGCGCTTCTGCGGCCCCCTCTGTGAGGTGGCCGGCCACTGGCCAGGRCCCTGAATGACCCTCCCCAGCCAGCGTCTCGGTGAGTCCCTGGGAGGTCCCTCGAGCACCTCCCGTCCACAGTGGGTCGCACCATCCTTGTTGAGACGCTGGACGGGGGTTGGGGGACGCTGCGGTCATTTCTCAGGTTTGCTCTGAGTGAAAGGAGCCGGCCCTGGGCTCCCCGTAAGCTGGACGTGGGTCAAGGGTGGGAACGGTATTACAGAGTCTCTTTACGGGCTGCAGAAATGGGGTTTTTGAGGATCCGTTTGATGATTTTCTCATTGGCCTCACGGGGCTGGGAGGGGGCCCCTGTGGGTTCCGGGGGCTTAGAGGAGGGTTCGCTGGTGGACCTTGGGGGGACTCCCAGGCAGGACGGCTCTGGGAACGCGGTGGGGAGATGCTGTCTGTCACCGCAGGCAGGAAGGGTCTTGCTGTGCACTGTTGATAGAGCTCTAGTGTCCACCTGCTGCCCGCCTCCAGCAGTGACTGCACGCAGTTAGCGTCCACCTATCAGAGAGAGGACACTCAGCCTTTGGTTTCTGGGGGGACCGGGTTATTTCCGTGAGCAGGATATTCCCCAGGTCCACCCATTTACCTGCAAATGCCACCATTGCATTCTTCTTCATGACTAAGTAATATTCCATCGTGTATGTGCGGGATTCYAGTGCCTTCTTCTTCCTCCCCGACTTCCTGTCCACAAGGGAATGATCTCCTGCACCCCATCCTCCCCACCGCRATGATCCTCAAGAGCCATGGCTCCGAGGAACTTTGAAATCTCCAAAACCGAGAGCTGCCTTCAACCCTTTCTCTTTTGTTCGTCAATCACCCGAGGTCGGGGTTCCGCTAGTGGAAAGTGGACGGGCGCACGTCGCGTTGGCACGTCACCAGGTGGTTTCATCAGTGACCTGGAGAGGCTTTAAGATTGCACACAGGGAGGCGCTCTCCAGTCTGTTAGAAGGAGACCTCGGAGACCTTATCGAGGTACAAGGTGGCATGTGGCCAAGGGGACTTGCTTCCGTCASCCTTTTGATCACGGGGACCAAAAGACCCAGCAAGAAGAATGAAGAGGAAGAAAAGTCTGTTCTGGTCACAGCTTTAGAAAGGTCTCAGTCC